TCTTGTTTCTTGCCCCCCCCGAGGCCCGGGGCCTGCCGCTGTCTCACCCCCAACCTGCCAGTCATCCGTCCAGGTCTTCGGCTCAATATGACGTCTGCTGGGGTCACCAGCCCAGACCTTCCACATCGGCTCCTTCCTTAATCTGGCTGCTCGTCCCAGCACTGGCTCTGCTGCTTCCGATGTGGCTGGTTCCTTCACCGGCTCTTCTGCCTGCAGCACAGCCGGTTCCTCCACCGGCTCTGCTGCTCAGGATGCCACTGGTTCCTTCCCCGGCTCTGCTGCCCGCAACGCAACCAGTTTCCTCACTGGCTTTGCTGCTCCAGACGCCGCCGGTCCCTTCACCGGCTCTGCTGCTTGCAATGCCGCCGGTTCCTCCTTTGGCTTTGCTGCCTGCAATGCCGCCGGTTCCTCCTTCGGCTTTGCTGCCTGCAATGCCGCTGGTTCCTCCTTCAGCTTTGCTGCCTGCAATGCAGTCAGTTTCTCCTCCGGCTCTGCTGCTCCCGACACCGCCGGTTCCTCCACTGGCTCTTCTGCCTACAATGCAGCCGGCTTCCTCACCAGCGCCGCTGACAGCGTTGGAGTCGGTCCCACTGTCAACACTGCTGCCGGTTGTGTTGCCGGCTTTCTCAGAGCCTGCCCTGGCTCCGCCCCTGGCTCTCGCTGCAGCCGAGAGTGGCGGCTGATCTCCTCCACGCTGGAGTTCCCTCCCATGGTCTCTCCTCATCAACCACCCCGCTGCCTCAGCGGGGCCGCTTTTTGTTTCTTCCAGGAGGTGTCCTCCGCCCCCACTGCTCTGCCACAGCTGGATAAACGCCCGGCTGATCACCCGTGCTGGCTTCCTCAGCGTACGTGCCTCCCCCGGCTCTTCCGGCTCTGCAGGAGGTGAGTAGGACTCCTTGCTGCCCCGGGGTTCCTTTGGCGTTCCAGCTCCCCTGGGACAATTACCAAGATACTAACTTAAGCAACTTGATGCATGTCAGCATTACAATATATATAAGTATATGTAGTTACATATATTATTGGTGAATTTTGCACCATTTACACACCAGACACTAGGAACAACTATAAGTTGATCACTAATGACTTCCTTATAGTTCTACATTTTTTTTCTTCAGTAATCCTATCATTAATTTTTTATATTTCGGTCCCCATTGAAACCCCACTTTTACCATGGTGCTTACAAAAGATCTTTGACATAAGAACATTTTAAAGAATAAGTTGTTTCTCTTTCCTCTGTAACCTGAGCCCCATGTGGACATTTGCATGACCTGATATACAATCATGTGACTTGCTTTAAGTGGTGTAATCGTAGATTGGGTCCTTACATGTGCACGTGTTCACTAGTAGCCAGGAGGCGTTCCAGGAACCCAATCTCAGTAAGTTGGGGGAAGGGTTAATGGGATCAGGGAGTGGCGGGGCTAGTGCGTCTGCAGGGGAGGCTGGGTCTGCAGGGGGGAGCACTGTCTGTCCAGGGTTGGGGCAGGGGTTGGAGGGCTAAAGCTAACCAGGTTGGGAGGGATGTGGGTAGGAAAGGCACAGCTCCAGGGCTGGGGTGAGGAAATGGGTTTTCTCAGTCTCAGGGCTGTACTCCAGACAATTGGTCTGGTGGGCCACATGAACATGTTCCCAGGACCCAATCTAGAATCACATGGCTTACTTTAAGTCATGTGATCATAGATCAGGTTCTTCATATGCACATGTTCACTAAGTGCCTGGGCTTTCCCAGCCCCAGGACTGCCCTCTGAACTTGTGCAGATGTTTGGGAGCCTGGGCTAACAAGCTAACTTAGCATATCTCTCGGGTGAACTAAGTTAGATAGCACCAGCTATCTTTTTGCCTGATATAATCTCCCTGAACATATGTACAAGTCAGTACTTAGATTGACCTAACTAAGGTTAGTTTAATCTAAGTGTAAGGTCTGCACATGAGTGAAATAAGTGAGATCAGGCAGCCATTTTTTACCCTATCTAACCTTCCCAAACACATACATAGTTTGACACTTAGATGAACCTAACCCTAGTTAGGATCAGGTTGTTTGCAGGACCTAACCCTAAAATATTTACTGAGAAGAAATACATATTTACTAAGAATAAACCCATTCATTTTAAATGGAACTGCCGAGTCACGGTAGTAAAGTTAAGCATGTCCCTAAGTGTTTTCAGGGTCAGGCCCCATAATAAGATCTTTAGGTCAGGGACTGTATTCTAATATTCCAAACTGTAAAACAGCATAAACAGATTTTTTTTTTCCTTTTTTTGGTTACCTACTGGAGGTTGGAAGTCTTGTTATTTGTGAAGGCTAAAAATAATTATCTTTTATCTCATGTGGAAATACTCAAAGTTCTATTCCCCGTTACATATATTATATTAATTTTAAAAGGGTTATTATTGCATAGCTACATTTTACAATAATGTTTTGTTACTAAATTATGATACCCTAGAAGCATCAAAACAGATCACTTAAACTCCATTCTGACTCTCAGCCAGTAGCAGCAGGAAAAAAAGATAAAAATCAATGCTCTGATTTAAGAATGAATGAACTTCCTTCCAGCCAAAACACAGAAATTCACCAGCCTGAGTTCAAATCCCAGTATGGCCATTAAGTTTCTGATTTTCAGCTGAAAAGGTTCATCATGGGGTTCACTCATCAAACAGCAGTAGTAAAGCACATATGTTGCAAAGCACAATGTAAAAACAGCAACATGAGACCACAATATCTAAAACCTATTAGGAACAATGCTACAACACGTTAAGAAAACTTATTATTTTATGAAAGGTGTACTCTAATCTGTCATTTATTCTAAGATACCATGTCGTAACATATGGGTTACTTTATATTAATGAAAATAAACCTATGTGTTGTTTCCACACTATACATTATTCATTAAGGCAACTTAATGTTCCAGCAATGCAAAAGAATGCTCATACATTGGTTAGCATGCGATTGCTTGGACTCTAAAATTATTAGTCATAGTCAATAAGGTTAGTGAATCTCTTGTTAGTTTGATCTTGACTGAAAGAACCACTTTCATAAGAATAATTACATTCGTGAGTCATATTTAACAAAAATTCCTATATAACTATAAAGATGCATTTTTTTCAAATCTGATAAAGAGCTTTAATCTAGAATCTTTCCAACCATATAATTGGACACATATACAAATCCCAGCAATGAAATCACTTTCCTTTCCTCTGATAAAGTCATATAGAAACTCAAAGAAAAATGAAAAAGGATACTTCTTGGTTCATGCAATTTTTTATCCAATTGCTGTTTAACAATGTAGTGAGCAGCAGGAAGAAGAAACAAATATTTTTATGTTAAATATTACCAATGTGCCTAATACACTGAAAGTGCGTCTCAAGAATATCACTCAAATGTGAAGTAGTAAATTCTACTATTTAATGCAGACAAATCTAGGTCTCAAGGTAGCTATTTAAGTCCTAAAGGCACATTTAAGCAATCATATATTTTTCCTCAAGCATATAAAATTTAGAATTCTTGAAAAGGAAGAACCTGAATGCTGATATTCCTATTCCACTCTGATTTGAACCTTTCCCAATATATGCCAGACATGGGTTGTCTACAACAGGGGTTTCAAGTGGGCTTGGCCTCTCCAGGGCCAGATCCAGACTGCAGGACTCCACACAGCAGATCTAAATCTATCTACAGCAGCAAGGCAAGTCACTATGGCCAGGTACAGACATTACACCTTTACGAATATAAGTGATCAGAAACTGGTCTACACCCATTACAGAACAAAAATTTGGCACACAGACTGGTTTAAAAATTGTGGAACCCAGTCAAAGATTTGCCGTCCCCAACAAAGGGTGAATGTGTGTTCTGTTCGCTACCAATATAAACTACACCACTTACAGAAGACTACCTAACTTAAATAGATTCTGCCTTGGGCTTTTTGAATGTCTGTACCTAGCCTGTGTCAGCAATTAACACAATCATAGCTCATTCCACTGCTGCTGAAACATGTCCCCAGCAAGGCTCCATACTCTGGAATTCAGTGGCAGTCCTCACCCCTAACCACTCTGCCCTTCCGAAACCCCACAGCCCAGGTAACACCTCCATGACCTGGATCTTTGATACCCCTGATCTAGAGCCATGACCCACATTCCTTACACAAAGTCTCATTGCAGATAATGGAAGTGTGTAAGGCTGGAAGTGTCAGGCCCACACATTACAAGTAATACATGAAGGAAGTACAAGCAGGAGGGGGCAACAGGGGAAGGCTTCTCCATACCCGAGGCATCCATACACAAATGCACAGAGCCTGGGAAACCAGAAGGAAGAATCAGAAGTCACAGAACTATGATGACACCAAGCTAGGGGGGAGTAGTAGATACACTGGAGGGTAGGGGTAAGATTCAGAGAGACCTAGACAAATTGGAGGATTGAACCAAATAAATCTCATGAGGCTCAATAAGAGCAAGTGCAAAATCCTGCACTTAGGACAGAAAAATCCCAAGCACTGCTACAGGCGAGAGACCAACTGGATACATGGAAGCTCTTCAGAAAAGGCAGGTTACAGTTGACAAGCAGCTGGATGTGAGCCAAAAGTGTTCCCTTGTTGTGAAGAAGGCTAACAGCATACTGGGCACTGCCAGCAGATCAAGGGGAGTGATTCTTCCCCTCTACTCAGCACTGGTGAAGCCATATCTGGAGTATTGTGTCCAGTGAGCCCCCCACTACAGAAAGGATGGGGACAAGTTGGAGACAGTCCAGTAGAGGACAACAAAAATGATTAGGGGCTGAGGCACATGACTTGTGAGGAGAGGCTGAGCGAATTGGGATTATTCACTTTGGAGAAGAGAAGACTGAGAGGGGAGTTAATAGCAGCCTTCAACTACCTGAAGTGTGGTTCCAAAGAGGATGGAGCTAAACTGTTCTCAGTAATGGCAGATGATAGTGTGAGAAGAAAGAGATCAGGGTGAGAGAAAAGCCCTGAGAAACTGGAACGGAGAATACTTATCCCATCAGGGGTGGAGGGAAGCCCGATTAGAGAAGGGAGTACGCTGCCACATTTCCACAGCATGTGCTCCCTGCAGATTGGTGGAGGGAGCATGCTGAGTAGTGCTTCTGGGCCTGGAGAGGGGCAGCTGGAGGAGGACTAGGTCAGGCAGACGAAGAAGATGCCAGAGGTTTTCTCCGCAGACCACGTGCCACACCAAGCAGCAGACAAGGAAGGCAGGCATGGGCCAGAGTGGTCAGAAGATCATTAGTGAGTCCAAGGAAGCACTGAAGCAAAGCACCCTCCAGAACAGCCTGAAGAAGCTTAAAAATGGCCTTAGGATACCTGAATAACTATAGGTGAACTCCTATATGCTCTTTCAGTAACCCAGCATTCAATGGCTGGCTGCTGAAAGACTACAGGACCCTGAGCCTGTTGGGCACCAGTCAGGATGTGGTAAGAGTGGGGTGCAAGGGAGGCAGAGCCCCATGAAGAAAGCCCTCTTGGAGGAACTAGCAGAAGTGTCGCTAATCCCACATCCAACTTCCAGTAGCAAAAAAATACAATCAAGACGTGGCAAGGAAGCAAGTAACATTGGCAGTTGGGGTGATGACACTAACAGGCTCCCCAACAGCCCACTCAAGCAAGACATTAAGCAGGTGCAGGCCACAGCCATACAGCACCCATCCCAACAATTTGGTGTACTGGCCAGGAACACTGACAGCAGCCCAGCTCCTGAAGACATGGATCTTTAACCAGCAGCGATGGCAGGGGCAGAAACCCTGCAACAGACGCTGAATTTGATGGGTCAGCTTCTGCAGCAGCAACAACAGCAGACAGCCAGGCAGAAAGCTTTGGAAGAAAAGCTAGTCCAACAATAAGCATAGGTCCAACAG